AAATGGTCTGGTTTTGACCAAACTTGTTGGCTGAGAGACCTCATAATCAACTGGTCTTGGAAATGAGGGGGAAAGAAAGGGCCAACATTCCTGAGCAGGAGCCAGTGGTATGTGCCCTTACCTAAAACATTAACTAGCACAATCCTGAGTTGTTCCTTGAGGGACACTTTCTCACCGGAGTGAATGAGCACATAGGGTTTCTCTGCGGAGCCCAACACATTGCCATGTTCTCTTGTATACTGGCTGCTGTTCCTTCTTTTCAGCTATGTACTAAAGAGGATTTCATCTTTCAGCAACTCGTGGAAATGGTTCAAAGTTATGATAACTGCAGAAATTATCTCTTTTCCAGTTCCTATAAGTCTTGGGTCAAACCACTGTTTGTTTTCTTCCAAAATCGTGACGCAAGTCACTGCCATGCATTTCTAACAGTACACAATGCTCACATTCTTACTGTTGCTAACTTTCTCCACAAGTAGTGATCTGTATCAGAAGTCAAATTTTCTTGGTATAAAGAACTGTGAATAATACAGCATACCTTGCAAACAGTTTTAAAACAAAATCCTACAATTACAGAAAGGGAATACCAGGGTGTTTTCTCTTTTTCAATATAGGTTATACTATGACTTTAAAGTTCCCATAAAACCAATAGGGAAAATGAGCCCCTAATGATTTTTCTGAAATAATGTACAATGAACCCAGTGGCAAAAAATTCTACTTGTATAAAGCAGCATTACGTCTACCTGTGAAAAAAGTTGGGAAAAGAGTGCCGGGGACTTATTTGCTTGCACTTGGGAGAGTTATCGTTAATAAAAACTCATCATTATCTTGGCAAAGTCTCTCTATGTAGCATATGGAGGGAAATCCACTCTGGGAACAAGGAATCCTTTGTTAATGAACATTGTAAAGGAAGCTTTTGGCTGCAGTCTCGAGTTGGCCTTAAACACCAGACTATTACCAGTCTGTGACCAAGGGAGGTACCACCACCTGTGCAGCAGTTTGTTATGGGGAAGAAATACATTACAATATGTGAACCACTTCAGTACCATAGACAATTTCAACATATTAATTGCTAATTTTAATGGATGTGTCATTCAAAAGTGTTAGAAAATTTCGTTTGCAAACCCTGATCTTTAAATAATTAATGAGAAAACTTAAAGAGGTAATGAAAGTCAGTAAGCCAAGTCCAAATCACTCATTTCCTACCCATTTTTAATATGACACGACTTTCACATTGATACTGATTTAATGTTCCCCACTGACCACGAATCAGCACAGACAGAAAGTTGCTTTGAATACAGAAAATAATTGATAAAAATGCATTTTTATTTGAAAAGTGTGCAGAAACAATCACTGGATACATTTCTCAGCCATGGTATTTAAACCCACACACCACATAATCATTGGATGCTACTATCTCTGAAGCTGCTAGAACTTTGGTACAACAAAATAATGACCTAACTGTGATTGTTTGGAATCACAGTATATTCAGGGGCGTATAAAATAAAAACTCCAAGTTCAAAGTTTTAAGTTACATTCAAAGCATTAGACAAAACAGAGATCTGTGTAGAAGACAGACACAACATGCCTAGTTTAAAAATGAGGATAATATTACTCAAAGGTAAACAAGTGGGCTACAGTAAAGCACTTCTGTGTTATTTTAATAAAGCGTCTAGTTTTAACACCTTAACTAAAGCAGAATAATTTATTTTTCTTAATTTCAAATACAATCAGAATCTTTCACAAGGCGATAGACAGAAAAGCCCCATTTGTACAGATTTTGACCAGATTATAGTTTCTTATCTATAGCTGATTTGACTTCTTTGAAAGAAATACAAGATAACATACACATTGAAATAGAGCTCATATTTTCTCAATGTTGAGATATAGTCAACATTTTCAATCAAATACAGTGACCTCAAGGTGACTGCCCACTTGTAGTTTCTAGTCCATCTTTGAAATTAGTGTGTTTTTCCTGCTGTAAGTGGTCCAGATTATGACTTTGTAACTCATTTTAGCTTGTGGTAAGAGTGACTATTTGAAATGGAATATACTTTATTAAACAGTTTTTAGTATATCCTCCTTTGAGACTACTGTGGACCCTTTGAGGTCATCAAATTTTATAGACTCATGTGAGAAGCCACTGACATACTGGATAAGGTACTGTGGTCCCAAAGACATTTTTCCTTTCTACACTGGGCTTTTTTTCAGAGAATTTTGGGGGAAAGTCCCCCCAAAATAAAGTGAGCATAGTTTACAGACAGTATTTTAATGTGCCAACAAATATAAGGGCAGCAATTACTGGTTAAATAAGAGCTCACTTGTGAAGCTCAGATGTGCTGGTTCTTACAGAATCTACTAATAAGCCTTAAAGGTTAAATCATCTGAGAGATATTAGCTATGACTTCCAAGATCTCTTGGAAAGAGAAGGAAGCAGGAAACCAAAGTTAAACCACTCAGTAAATACCTTTGTATATTTTTTCACAAAAGATGACATTATCTTTAAATAGTCCTACTATTTTGGTACTAATGTTTTTGTTTGCTTATGTTTTGTTAATACATTTCTCCACATATGAAGTTAAAAAATATCTTAATCATGGATTATTGGTACAAAGAACTGTGCAGAAAAGCATATTTAGGATGTTACTCCTTAAAAAATTAGTCCAAGTACAATTTATGAGAATATTGGATTCATATACAGTAAATGAAATGTTTTTAAAAATCCCATTTTTGATGACACTAATCAAATGTCTGGCATTTAAATAATTTTATTAGCTTTATTTTAAGGGCATAGCTTCTAGATGTTAAATTAAAATGATGAATAATTTCCATGGATCTAGTTATAAACACTTTAATCCTTTATTTCTATCTAAAAATCAACCAATAGCTTTCTTCATATTCTCCAATATTGAAGCCTACAATTTAGCCAACTTTCAACTCTTTTTTTCCTCTTCAGCTTTTGCTCAATGATATCATTGTGGATAGGTCTTCACCTAAGAATTTGAAGGCAATAATTTCATACAATCTTCAATGTATCCAATAATTTTTATCATTTTTACATTGTAAGACAAGCAGTCTCAGAGATTTATAAAGCATTGAGACAACATTCACATAAGGTAGCATTTTATATCTATTTTTATGTTTAAGAGATCAATATTCTCCCAAGAAACAAGCAGATATCACCTTGGTCAAGACCAAGAAGAAAATACAGCTTGTGGAAAATTACTAGACAACCTTTCAAATATAGATAGCATCGTGGCATCATTAGAAATGATAAATCTTTCTCTAAACTATGCAAACACTAGACAGTGCTGTAAAGCTTGGTCACAGAATGCAAAAGGCAACTCTTTTACCACTTTGGCTAACATCAACCCTCAGATTTTTAAAAAAGATATTATATATCCTAAGAAATGAGATTAGAATATCATTTTTATATTTTGAGTTTTATAATATAAATTTAAAATCCTTTATGGATTTTTTTTCAAATTTATGTGTGATACACATTAAGAAAAGCATATATATACATCTGTTTTAAAATGAATGGAGATTTAGAACAATGAATGATTTTATTTCACTAGACACTAGTGCTTCACATTACCTACTATGCTTTTGTATCTACTCTGTCGAATGCACAATATTGGCTTCTAACTTTTATATGCATTCTAGTGGTGAAGAGAATATGGGATTCATCAATTTGTTGATTCCTAACAGACTCAATTTCCAGTTTAAATAAATTCCAATTGTGGCTGTTACATTATTTTTTAAAGTACTCATGTCTTTCTCTATAGTCAAGCTTCTATTTCTTATACAGGGGACAAGAAAGCGCTGATAAAAACTCTCGCCCATAGCGATATGCAATGTAACAACCACTGTTGATTTGTATTAATTTGTCTTGAGACCCTGTATCACTTTGAATGTTCTTGCTTTGATTTGTTTACATTTGTGATACTGGTATGCTGCTACTGTTCTATTTTTTTGTTTGTTTATTTCTCATGTACTACACTCTTTAAAATAAAAAAATAAAAAACAAAATAAAATAAAAATAAAAATAAATAAAACCTCTTGCCCAGTTCTTGCTATCTGTACAGGTTGGCAAACAAGTATAGTAGAAGCATGACAAAGATGCACAGAGTGGTCTATTTGGTGAAGTATAACAGATAAAATACTTTAGAAAATGCTGGTCTTAAACTGTTTGCAGTGTGACAGCTCATAATATAGAAATGAGAAATAACTGGCTAGAGTGGTAACCTACAAGAGTTTTAAAATTCTTAATAGATATACAAAGTCAACTCCCAACACGCAGTATTTTAATTTGTGACTTGTTACCATCATCAGACCAAGACTAACATTATATTCTCTTGACTATATTTGATTTTTAAAGGCTTTCTGCAATTACATTAAAAGATAGCCTTGTACCTAATCACAATTAAGAGTTTCAAGTAATTCCCACTCTACAAGTAAGCCAGGAAATCAAGAGAAGGTGGTAACAATCTCTAGATTCCAATACAGTCTTTGCAGTCTTTACTGACGATCTCAGAAGACCTTTACTTGGGTTAGTGTCTCAGTAAGGCCTTCCTAAGAGTAGAGCAAATGAGCTGTGGCTGGAGAGAAATTTGGTCACAGAAGTATTTGAGGCACTAAGTAGGATGATGTAAACATCGAACCTGTGTAAACACTCTAGAAAGGAGTTCTGTATCAGAAAGGGTTTCATGTACATTTCAAGCATTTCTTCACAATACAATATGACTTACTGAAGCATTTGGAAATGATCAGTAGCAGGGCACATCTTGGATAAAAATATGTACTGTTGTGGGATAAAAGGAACATGGAATTATTTGAAGCCATGTGTACGCTCATGGCACCAGATAAGTTTAAAACTGGAAATGACTTCTATAGGGCTATTATTAACCTGAAATAATGAAAGAAGGAATTTCTAATAATGGCTACCTAGATTTTGGGGTTCCATGTCAAATTTTACAGAGAAAATATTTTTAGGTCAAGTATTTACTTAAAAATAGAATAATGTTTTAATTTTCTTGTCAGCTTTAAAATTCACTCCTTTTGAGATTATTACCCAATAATTGTTATTTACAGGCATAGTTCTATAATTATGGGCATCATCACCCTCTGCTTCATGCTCCAGCTATCATATAACAATCTTAAAACAGACCCTGAAAAAATACCCATTAGATAATTGACAATGACAGAATCTTGGCACATTATATCAATCATATAACTGGAAAATGAATAGTAAATGAAAGAAATATCCAACAGGAATATCTTTAGCATTTTATAAAAGCCAAGCATTCCTTATTATGGAAATGTAGGAACACCACAATATGGACTCCTCAAAAAAGAAACTCATGATAATCACAAAAATTCACCAAATTTTATGACAGCAATGGTTACACAGTTTTTCCCCACTTTCCTTCTAGAAGAAGTATCTTAATTACTTAGCTCATAGCTTTTTATCTTCGTGGCACAGGCACTGAGTTCACGGAGAGCATTCCAGAGAAAACAGTGCTGAAAAGAATATTGAATCATGGTCCAACTTAGAAGGTGGCACAGTGCTAAAGAAATCACAGGCTTAATTAGCACTGCACAGTTATCACTGCAAATTACACCGGGATCCATTCTCATACTAGCTTCTAAGTTATTTTGTTTTGTGGCACATGTGTGGGTCTAGTTCATACTAAAAGCAAAAGTAGTTATTATCTTGGATCTCTTTGTGTTTCTGAAACATTCAGTAGCCGATGGAGGTTTGTAGGACTGGTTGAAGAGAGAACTGGGATTCTAAGGTCTCTAATGTCCATAACTTAACTAAGTAAATATACAGAGAATGGAAAAACGAGGTTTAGCTGGAAAAAATGTATAGGAAAATGAATAATCCTGCCAAAACATTATAGACTCATAGTAAAAAGAAAAAAAAATGAAGTAGTTGCCTTTATCATTGGTAAAATTGACTGATATATATTATTTATATATAAATAATAACAGGGATAGCTTGTGTGTATCAGAAACTAAGATTAAAAACTAATGTACTATTAGTGTACACAATTATAAGAAATAATCAGTAGAAGATACCTTTGTGATCATTTTTAGAAAGAAAAGGCAGCTTTATACAAAAAAAAAAAAGTAACTCACCATATTTTGGGTGAGGTAAGATACGGCTTCATCCTGGCCCAACCCTCAAACATAGTTCAGCTATAGATTTTTTTCCATAGACAAAATAAAAACATATTGTAAGAAGGAATGTGGTACCATCAATTTTTATATGATTAATGACATGAAAATTCAGAGTGACCCTAGAATTCATCCATCATTATTCTGAGGTTGTTGATCTAAAAAGTGACAGACTTAATATTTTTGCAATTGATTCAAAGTCAGGGGTGAGTCAGGGTTGGAGTGAAAAACATGAATTAGACTTTCTAGTTCTTTTGTAAACTAAAAGGAAACCCATAGTTAAGAGTTGTTTTCTTTTATAACAATGGTATATTTTATCTTTAAAATTTAGGTTAAGTAAGTTTTCTTGACTATATTTGAAAAAAGATATTTAATACATGGCAGTGGTTTATTTGTCTTTGTAAGGGCCACATTTGCTGAGCAAAATAAAATGTTGTGGGAAATGGAAAGTTTTAGATCCCAGCTGATAATGTCAGCTTCTAACTGGCTTGAGTGAACTTTGACTAAATAACTCTTCCAGACATCTATAACAGATACATTTAATTTCAGCTGTACAAAAGCCATATTCCTATACTTTTATTTTTTCCTCCAGGGCATTTCTCTTGTACTTTGTCATTCACAGTCCTGTTCTTGTCTACCTGCCATTTATTAAGACTATAAAAGCCATATTACTCTACAATCTCATTTCAACAGAATTCTGACATTCACCCACTCATAACCTTATCAGTAATTTAACCACTTTAGTTCAGCTTCTTGGGGACATACAGTAATGTCATTCTTAATGGACCACATAGAATTCTTCATTGTGTAACCAATTTTTGCTAATATGTTTTGCCCAATGGAAATGTAGATGTATGAATCATATTTTATATAAATAAATGCAAATTTTAAAAAATCTTTCTGTATTCTTCCACTAGTAGCCTATTCCTTTCTTCAGTGTGACAAGGCAATATTTGCTCTCTCTTTCAAAACTCACTGATATTTATTTCTAGTATACTCTCTTGTATACCATACTTCTTTATGTTAAAAAAAATTGAGCATCCATGATGGTTAGATCACCTCAGAAAATCTTAGATTTTGTTTGGAAGGGACTCAGGGATAACTGGTCAGTTCTTTTGGATGCTTTTAACTATTCTGATTTCTTAAAATAGATTTTCTGGATGGAAAAGGAAAGCATGCTGTTGTGCATGGTCTACGCAACAACAATTTGTGGTTTGTCACTGTTTTCAGGAGTAATATTTGGATGGGTTTCTTGCTTATCGGCTCCTGTGTAGAGTCTAGCAGGCACATTTCTTCTCTGCTGACTTCTCCCCATCTAGCTTTCCAGAATTGCCACCATTGACAGCATCAGGGAGCTGTGTCTTCTCCACACACTGTTCCATCCGTTTCATGATTAAGTCCAGAAGGGTTTCCACAGATTTCTCTACATTCTGTCCGGTAGCTGCACTTGTTTCAAAATATGGTATGCTAGTATAGAAAACAAATGACAGATATACTTGAAATTGACAGAATTGCATGTATATATCACATGTAACATGATGTCCTGAAGTATATATACATTGTGTGGAATGGTAAAATCTAGTTAATTAATAGATGAATTACCTCACATAATTATTTTTGTGTTCACAACAACTCTCTTGGTATTTTTAAGAGTATGTGTCACTTTTAAATACAATCACCCTGCTGTTCAGTAGATCTTTTAAACTTCCTGTTGAAAAATGTCAAGAAAGTGAATAGTACATTTTCTAACACAATGTTAATAATAAAAATATTTTTAAGAGGAAAAAATCAGAAAAGATTCAAGATGTATAGGTGAATGACACATGCAAAATCATGGTTGTCAGGGAAACTGTGAAATGATGTTTCTGCTGGATAAGTTGGAAACATCTTTGTTTTCTTTTTTTTCTTAGTGAGAAAAATTGATGAGCTGCTTTTTAGTATTATAAGCAGTTGCAAAGACAAGGGAACTGCTCCAGGAGGAGTCAGGTGTTGAGGTCAAGGCATTATCACTGTTCAAAAAACACAGGAAGGAAAAATGCCCAAACTGGTGATCAATACCACTATTAAAATATCATCTCCATTCCAGTCAGTCACTGGAAATCTGATGCATTATGAATTAGGCATGCACCATTAGGATATTTACATGAATGCAGGCTACTTTTTTTAAATTCCAGGAAGATGCAAATTTTAAAGCCCTGAATGAGAATCAGTAAAAAACTGGACATATGATGAAACTGTTTTAAATTTAAAAAACAATGACCAATTCTTCTGTGGAAACCAATCTACAATTTCATGGATTGACTTTTGTGGATTATTTTCACTGTCATTCAAGCTCAGCTAGTATAAAAGCAACATTATCCTGTCCATATTAGGACTCTGGTAGCATATAGTACATAAGAGCATGAGCCCCTAGTCCTAGGTGGCCTGGACTGAATTTTAACTCTGTTCTTTATATTTGCTTGGCCTTCCATAAAGTACTTAATCTCTCTATAAATAAATTCTTCATCTCTAAAATGGGATAACTGCAGTATCTCCTATACATGCTTATGAGGCATTAAATAAGTTAAAGTAGGAATAGTTGCTAGCATGTAGTAAGGATTCAGTGAATGTTAAGTGCTATTATTAAGTCATTAAAATATCACACATCCCTCTGTAAGGTCTTTTTAATTTACATACTGTTCTCGAGCTAAGGGGGAATTCCTTCTAATGTCAGTCTCAAGTCTCTGCTGTCTTGGCGAGCAACAGAGTGAAAGGTCAGGTGGTTCTCAGTGGAATGGACTTACCCGTATTTTTCAGCTAATTCCCGGGCTTGCCGTTCATTGACTTCCCTCTGGTCTGGCAGGTCTGCCTTGTTGCCAATTAATACTATGTCTGGATTTTCACAGTAAGCATTTGCTTGCAGTTGGCCTTGGAAAGAAAGCAGATGGAACCAGCAAGTTCGTTATAAACAAGTGATGTCAAACGACTGCTCTTACTCCAGACTCCTAATCAAATGGTTCATCTTCAGTTTGGTTGGTTACTGATAATAGTAAGCCATGTCACCTACTCTTCTCACTCACATTTTCCTCTTCTATAAAATTAAATACTATAGTGCCTCACTGATTGTGGATTGTGATGATGACAAATAAAAAACATAGAGCACCCAAGTCAATACCATGCCCATTTATGCCCTTTAACGTCTGGGGAGACGTCCTGACATACTGCTTCACACCATTTGCTCCTCAGATAGAAGTGGAAATAGTTTCACATGATTTTAAAGTGCTTAGATTTGTTTGTTCTATGTAAGAGGCTGCTAAATTTTCTTCTTCTGCTATCCAAAGTGATGATCTACTCAATAAGAGTTTTCAATCACCAAAGATTCCTGAAGAAACAATATGAACACAGATAACTTGCTTTTCTCTTTTGTCCATGAAAACACTGTGTGTGTGTGTGTGTGTGTGTGTGTGTGTGTAAGTAATACACAGAGAGAGAGACAGAGGAGAGATAGACAAAGAGAGAAGGGAGGAAGGAAGAAGAGAGGAGAAGGAAGAAAAGATGGAGGGAAGGAAAAAGGAAGGGAGAAACGTATATAAACCTGTCAACCTGTGTTTTCTAAGTCACAGACAAGAGGAACAACACAGAAGTTTGCCCTGTAAAATCAATTATTTGAGGGTTAGAAACTCAACTATTGCCATGTGGCAATTAATTACCTTAAATCCTATCAATATCCTTCTGGAGACTGCAAATAAGGGAGAGTCTTGTCTGCCTTGAAGGACAGCAAACCATTCTCTAAAAGAATCTAATGATCTTATTATGTCTTTGTCTCCTCAGAATCTAATAATAGTTCCAAAATTTGGGTAAGGATATATAATATTAAAAGGAAATAAAGACAGATCCTAAGATAAACATTCATTTGGAGAAGTAATTAAGGAAGTCAGAATTTGTTTATATTTTTCCCCATCCATTACAACGGTGTTATTGAATTTGAAAGCAGTTATTTAATGTATTTAAATTATTAATAATATTTTTAGTGTAATGTGTTAATTCTATACACTATGTAGTAATTCATATATATATATATTTGAACATTTACTCACTGGCAGGCATTTGCCAAGGTCTAGAAAACCATAATGGATAAAAACAGACACAGTCTGCCTTATAAAAAACAGATGATACAAGGGATGATCACAAAATATGGCAAATGTTTCCCACCATTCTTGCCCCGTTCTAAAGCAGTTTTCAAAATTTTCTTCCCAGAGTATCTCCAGCTGCACTGTCATGGTACCTCAGTATCCTGAATCTATTCAAAATGTTTGCTTCTCATGGACATTTTGACTTTGGGGAAGAGCCAGAGGTCCCACTGCGCCAGGTCTGATGAATAAAGTAGATGAGGACACTCTAATGTTTTTATTTCATAGAAACTGACATACATCATTTTTAATCGACAATGTAGAGACCACAATAGAGGGAATGGGAAATGCAGAGGTCCCAGGACAGGAATGGGCTTCATGTCCTGGGGGATTGGTCAGAAGCCAGAGAGATGAGGTCGGATAAGAGTGAATGGAGAAAATACCAGGGCTTGATCAAATGGCCTCAGAAGTAGGTGGAATGGAGCGCTGTGGGTTTTATCGCAGGTGAAACAGGTAGTCATACAAGAATGTTGAGCAGGGGAATATGAAGATTTTATATATATATATTATATATATATGGCCACAAACAGCCTGGGAAAATGTAGACATTGCAGCAGCAACACCAGTCCCATGATAGTGGAGTACAAGGGCAATTGATCTCTCCTGCTATTGTGCATCCCATCGGGATCAAAATGCTACATCAATTTAAAAAATAAAGGAAATTTTTGACACCTCTCTCCTGTATTGATCTACATCAATCTGACTTCAATGACTAATTAGGTAGCAGTGCTTAAATTTTATAGTATGTATAAATGACCCAGAGGTTGAAGATTTTTCTGTGTGAGACTTTCTCACATTTTTAATTATTTTTATTTTTAAGAGTAAAGAACAAAAACAAGATAGCTAAGATAACTGTACTACTTTCTATTGTTTTATTGAAAGGAATAGTTAATATTTAATTGTTTGAACAATCTTGCATTCCTGTATCTCGTAATCTGAGTAACTACTTTGAAGAAAGCAACAAGTAGTATGACTATTGTTGATTTCTTATCTTCTTATTTTGACTTTCTCACATTTGAATAATTTCTTTTTAAGGTAGATCCTGATGTGATCTGAGGGACAGTCAAACTGTCCCTTATCATCCTCAGGCTGTTCTCTGGGGAGTCCTTTCTGACCTAATTAACCCCTTTGTTCTTGAGGACATTTTAGGTGCCGGACTCCCCTCTCAGAAGATATTCCAGTTTAGATGTCATAAATGGGAGAGTTCAAAATTCATCTGACAAGTGGAATACATGGTCTTTTAATTACAGTAATAAAGACTGTAAATGTAGGTGGTGAGAAAGCTACATTGACTTCATTTATGAAGAATATCAAAGGAAAATAAAAGTCCAGGGAACCTCAGGGGATCATACAAAGGCCACCACTGTGGAGGTGACACCAAACTCATGACTTTCTGGAGTTAACCTGTGTTCCCTTTCTGGCTGCAAGGTAAACAAGCAAACAGGGCTGTGGCGTCCCAAAGATGCCAGTGCACCTTACTCAGTCCCACTTACTCATCCAGTTTCTGACATTTAAGAAGCTCTGTTGACTGGTGAGGTCAAACATTAACAAGAAGCCCATGGCATCTCTGAAGAACGCAGTGGTGAGGCTCCGGAACCTGCCAAGAAAGCACATGGGTGGTTCTGAGGGTTAGTGCACACACTTAGGATCATAGTACAAACAATGCTGTTTCTCCTTTAGATAGGAAATCTCCATGGCTGACCCTTGTAGATGACTCTGTAGAAATGGAAAAGTGGGAAAAAAGACAGCTGGCAGGGCAGGAGGGGAGTTTTTATTGTAGAGTTTTTAGAAGACCACTTCCTGGCTTTATGGTTCCATGGCACTTATGCACAAAGATTGTAACATTCAGTCACATACTTGCTTACACAGCTTCTTGGAATCTTTTTCCATCATGGGTATCTTGTGGCCCACAATGACAATTTATGCCACTTTATAGTGAGGATGCTAACATATACTTTTCAATCTTTCTTGTCTGTGCCCAATGGAAAACTTGGCACACAATAGCCTGAAATGAATGTGTGTGATCTTATGAAGCAAACCACAACTGGTAAGCAGCTGGAACTAGAATTCTTTTGTAGGGAAAAATACTAGCAAGCAAACTCTCACTAACTCTTTAGGGTAAAACTGAGCTTCAAGCCGGCATCCAGTTCTCATGAGGAAGAGGAAAATAATTAGGGGGACCAAGGCAAGATCAAAATTCTCTCTCAAAAGACAGACTGGTAGCTGGGGAAAGGAAACGAGAGCACTCATTTATAATGGGGGATGTTGAAGAATATGCTCTGTCATGGCCCAGGTGAAGACTTTCTCTTCCTCACTCCTCCCCTGGTCCCCTAAAATCTATAGCAAAGTTGAAGATATGCTCAGATCCACTTAGACATTAGCAATAAGCAAACTGGAGACTATGCATAGGAACTAGAATTTGACAAAGGGTTAAAAAGGCATATAACTTTGAAACAGAGAAAGATATCACTCCCTACCCCAAATATACTTCTAATTGTTGGCCACTATTTAGCCTAATTTGTTGGGGCAGGAGGGGAGTTTTCACATTGAAGTAGGGGAACCTACTTCACGTTGGTTTTATGTTCTTAACCCATCTCATTTTATGTGCATTCTCTGGATAGTTTCATTTACTTCCTTACCCTTTACATGCTGTGCCTAATTACTACTTGTATATTTCCACATGTAGGAAACTAAAGGACTTCCAGTATCATACATCCAAAACCAACTTGGCCATCCATCCTGATTTCTGCCAATGGCATCATCTTCTTCCTCCTGGTTGCCACAATCTCTTTCTCCTTCATCAGCTCATTGACATATTGCTCTTTACCTGCTTATTTCTGTCCATTTACCTTGCCATTGCTCTAGTTTCAGACCTGTATCTCCCCTGGATAACTCCAACAGCCTTCTTACTAGGTTTCCTGTGTCCAATTTTGTTTGGGATTCCCTGACTATGTCTTCCTATTGATTACATTAATTCTCTACCAACATCATTTCTTGATTATGCATGGTTCCTAAGATAACACCTGAACTCCTCCTTAAGCTGTCAAAATTCTACAGGAACTGATCCTCTTTTACCTGTGAAGGTTTATCTCTTCACCACTCACAGCCGTGCTGATTTGTTCTTCAATCTGGGCAAGTTCACTTTCTACCCCGGGGTCCCACACATGATGGTTGTTCTGTGGGTGATCTCACATAAAAGTTTTCCTTCCATCCTACCTTTCTTTAGCCTGGATAACACTCAAATATACATTCCATATGAGTATGCAAATGGCACCAGAGGAAATAGCACTTCCCCAAGGACCCTTCCTGGCACCCATACCTGAGTCATGGCCTTCTCCTGGTGGACTCACTTATTGCCTTTTGTTTTCCTGTTACTCTCCTAGCTCTCTACTGCAATTGTTTATTTGTCCAATTTCTACCCTACTCTGTAAACTTTAGGAGAACATGAGCTGTGTCTCTAATTTACTGTCCATTACATTTTCATGGCTTGGAACATGATATATGCTTACAAAATACTTGTGAAATTAAAGGGAGTAAGAGAGAGATAAGAAAAAAAGAGAATAGAAAAAGTCATAAAATTTTAAATATTCAAAATTACTCCAATGGTGAATGCTTTTAATTCCAAAGCAGAGCAAAAAGAAACAAAAAAAAGAGTAACTGCTACTTATTTCCAAATTAGAATGTCCTTCACAGGGCACTATCATGATCTGAAAATGTAGAGTGGAAATAGCAAACTGTTTATTCATCTTTTTTTCTTGTAGATTTGTTTCTGCCATTTTCTGGGAGCTTGCAGAGTTTATAGGGGTTTTACTGAGTGGCTGTTTCTTTGGAGACTGGCTATACCCACAAAATCATCTGCTACTCAACCAACATAGCCAGTGGCTAATAAACCTGTTGCTTGTTCTGTGTATTTGTGTGTGTGTGTGTGTGTGTGTGTGTGTGTGTGTGTGTTCAGAATAAGACTATATTATTCTCCACTCATTCTCCATAGCACATAACAAAGTCACTCAAAAATGTGCTTGTTGTGTGATGTGATCAAGCCAAATGGATTTTCATTGACAACAATATATGTAGGATACTCTTGCCCTGGGGCAGGCTTATGACTTCAACTCTTCTGCCTGGAATCTTTCGTATTGCTCATTCCTTTGAAGAAGAAAAATAATTGATTTGTAGTTTCACATAGCCTCCCTTCCCTCTTACTCTGTGTGGTGAGTCAATAGGGTGAGGAGAGCAAGAACCACATAAGCAAACAGATCCCAGAGTCAGACACGTTCGTGTACTGCCCTTTCAGTGGGCGCTAGGGCTGTGCCCTGCATCCTTCAAGTTTACATAGGATTATATATTATATTTTCCTTTTCCCCATGATGTGACTTTTACCAATGCTCATTATCTTACAAGATTGTACTTCCCAGATGTCCTGAGGCATAGGGATGAGGTGTGAGGCATTCTTTATCTTGTTGCTTAGATACACTTGGTACACACAGAATGCGAAATTCTCAAGGGATGAATAACCCGAGTTATTAAGACTGCCCCTAGTCTTCCCCATTTCCCTCAGAGCACAGCTGTCCTAAGAGGACAGATGAGAGAAGCCTGCCATCAGGCCAGGCTGACATATCGTGTGCGAGGACATATGGGAAGCACATTTTCTCCTGTTACTTCTTCAAAAATGAATTAAATCTGTCTATAAAACATACATCTTTGTGACAACAAAACTGACACATGAATAGAGACTCTTGTGAAGAGTGACTTCAGAGGAACTAGCGGTGTTGAAGGGTGTGTGTAAATGGGATTCACAGTCAGAAAAGCTCACAGAGAGGGCCCGCACCTCTCCTGGTGTTTACACTCAAGGAAAGCGAGAACATGCTGGATGCATTTCAGTAATGGAAGTGTTTACAAGCATCAGCATTCTCAGATATACTATGCAAAATGCCGATATGTGCCTTCTAAACATCTTTGCTGCCAAACTTGCCATTTTTTATTTTACCTCACACTGAAAAGTGTCTTTAGTTTTGGGTCTTTCATCCTTTGACACTTTGGATCTCAAAGAAATACGTTTGCATTGAGTAATGGGATAATGTCTCCAGCTGTAAGCCTCAAAGACTTCTGTGAACTAAGTATCTATGTCTTGGACTCTCCCAGAAATTATGCCAAAATAACAGGCAAGGTCTGGGCCCATCTGAAACTCACAATTTTGTCGGGTGGAAAAGATCACAAATAAATCAGTGAAAAGCCATTAAAGACAGAAGATTCTTCTTAATTAATTTAGAGGCTTAACGGTGGTAGAACAGGTGTCACAGGTATTCAGAAGAAAGAGGGCAGCGCTTATAACAGTGCTTATTTCTCATCTTCATTTTATGTAAATCTTAAAAAGTTTCTTCCTACCAGGGAACACAAAGACAGGTTTATTTGAATCCGATTTCTGTAATCTGTAGCAACCACACAATGCCAGTTATGGCGAATTAATAAGAAGTCAGTAACTTTTATTTCTCATCCAAATTCTATTTTGGAAGCAGGGGAAGGTTTGCGTATATACCCTTTGTTTTTCAGTTCACATCCAGCATTCACTTTAAATAAGTCTTTAAAAGTTGTGTGTGAAAGTAATTTCTTCTTACCGCTCTTGGCCTGCCGTGTCCCAAAGCTGCAGATGCACTTTAAACGCTTTCCCTGAAGATCCATTCGGCCCTTGTGTGTTATAAACCTGAAAAACACAATTCTCTTCAGTTAATCTTGCTTTGGGTTTTGTCAACATTCTAATTCTGTGGTTCACTCAGCAGGTTTTTTCTTGATTACTATAATCAAAGTTCAGAGTGCAGAATAAATATTTGCTCTATTTTTCCCAGAAGTAGCACATAGATCTCACTCTTAAATGTCAAATACAAGTATAATTTTCAACACAATTTAGGCATTCTGCAAACTTAAAATAGACATCTTCTGTTATTTCCTCACACAGGCAGCAAACATCAGAATTAAGATACAACTTCTTAGTTCAAATGCCAGCTCTTCATTTTCTTATCTGAATCTAATTTTCTTACCTGCAAATTGAGACCCACAATCCCTTCCTACTTTGAGGAGTTACTACAAACTTTAATGAAATAAGAGATAGGAAAGCATTTTTTAAAAACTAAAGTGCTTTATGAACGCCTCAATATCTTTTAGTGTGAAATAGACTTTCAAAATATCTTAACCATGAAATATACACAGAACCTCTCAGTATATTGACACAGGACATTTCAAGCCTTCCTTTACTAGCCATTTCTTCAAAGGACCTATTTAGACAAGTTCAGTGGTTTACTGTAAATGTTCTAAATGGAAATTTTAGCCAGGAGGTAGTTATACCCAGCTGGGTGAGACATTGGAGAGGGGAGAATCCAGAACAACCCTAGAGGTGTTGGAAGCAAGTGTGCTAAAATTACAGTACACTGTATTGACTTTCAGATAAAGTGCAAGATATGATTCAGCTTCTCAGGCAATGTCCTTTCACCAAAGATTTCCTTTCTTTTCTTTCCCAGTTCTCAAGGAATGAGTTGATTTGTGACATCAACTGGAAGCCACAGCCATCTTGGCAGTCAAGAACACCTTGGGTAGCAGTAAATCTGGCCAAGCTTATGTGCCTATGCTACACGTCTCACATGTCACAATATCCTTACTCCTGTCATTAGTGTCTAGCATAGGAGAAGGAAGTGGTTGTGAATCTCACTTAAACTCTCTTATCTTGGAAAATAGCATGGATTGGTCTCACATTCTGTTCAAAATAAGGCAGTGATTGATGGCTGGGCTATGCATAAATAAAAATGTGGCAAGCACTTACAAAGCTCATGTTCCAGTTATTTGCCAATCATCCTTTTAACCTCTTTGTTAAAAGTAAAGAAACAAACACTTGGCCTTATCGAGGAATTTAATTCAGATTGAAGAGTGAATGTTGCTATACCCTGAAGAACTCTAATTCTTTTAAGATTCCTTAAGAATTCATAGAAAGCACAATATACAAATCCAAAAATTATTTTAACTGCTTGTGTACTTTGGAGACTATCAATAGTGTCACTTAGTATTTTTCTAGCAAAATGTTATTTATAGTTAAGAAAAAGCAGTAGGTAATATTCTAAAGTTATGAGTTTCATATAATAAAAGATACATCGCATGCAAGAGACATAGATTCTCAATTCTTATTTTATACAGGGGAGTGAGAAATAAGGTTAACAGGATGGTTACAAACTCACCACACGTTTTTCCCGAAAATCTATTCCTACTGTAGTGATGAATTTGGGATTGAATTTATTATCTGTATATCTGTAAAGAAATGTCGTCTTCCCCACCCCTGAATCTCCAAGGGCCAGGAGTTTAATCAGATAATCATAGTCCCCATCGGTCATAGTGAAGGTCTTGGTGGGCCTGCGTAGGAAAGGAAGGATAAATATGGTGAAAGTTTATTTTTCTTTGCCTACTACCAAACTACAATATTAATCTCATTTTGAAGGTTAAAAAAATCAAATTCCTCAGTTCTGCCAAGTTTTGAATAAACTTGATCAAAGCAGTTTCAGAGGTGAGGGCACGTCTATCATTTCACTTCATAAAAATTATGCATGATGTCATTTGATGTGAAAAATATTCACAGCAGCCACTACCACAGCATTAGAAGAACTTCAATTAAAAAGTCCTAGAGGTTCATTTTTAAAGTCAATGACCTTTGGGACCAGGACAATTATGCTTGGAAGAGGAGACTGACGGGAACAGAAACACTGTGAAAAGTGGTGCAGGAATTCTAGAGAGAGACACAGTTATATGTGGAAAATGGAGGCGAAAGCCCGGCGGTATATTTTGCATGCAATCATGCAAGAGGAGCTTCCTATTATGTAGATACAGAATATTTTCTTCTTTAATTTTAAAAATTTAACAACTGGTATGAGATCATTAAAGACTGATTTGAAATCATTTCAAAAGCACTGCTCAGAAATTTGCCTTTAAACACCGAAGCTTCTGTTCTCCAATGGTAAATCTGTGTTTGGCTGCCAAGTAGCATATTTTCCAGGGCTTGAGAAAAGTAGAGCTATTAGAAGGCGAGTTACCTATTTCTGCTAATATTTTTCCTGTTGGGAAGAACAAGGTCATTTGCCATTTCTTCTATTGCTCTGTCCTCTTTCACCTCAGCTTCATTTGCTTTGTTGTTACTATGATTATGGGCAAGGAAGGGCCACAAGCTCATACCAGTGTGCCTGCCCTGGTGACACCCAGACTACCAGGACAGACAGCTGAATGACAAGAGCACCCACTGAATACTTGAAGGTTCTAGCACTGACTTGAGGAAACTATTACTTTGTGATTCATGGATTTTATGAATAAGTTTGTCCTATTCTGGGTAGAAGAAGGCCTATAAAGATTTTTCTAGAGAAGAAAATGTTATTTTCATTATTACGTGCTAAAGAGTACCCTCAATGAAGACTCAGAAAATATTTTATTCCTAAACAGTTCTTCAGTGATCACAATTAAATTGTAACAACAACCTATTTCACAGGCAAATCTGAAAACACGAGATAATTCTAACAATTTTCTACATGTAAGAAACAGTGTACATAATGTGAATGTACCTACATTTAAACCAACACACTTTTACTTTGTCAAAATGTAAACTAACTTCTAATATTAATAGTAGTTAAAGCTGAAAAGTTGTATGTCTTTGAGTGAAAAAAAGAAAAAGATGAAGATAATAGGAGAACTTATCAAGTAACCCAGAATTATAAAATCATTCAAAACATTTGAAATTTTTTAATTATAAATTTCTTAAATTTGAACCATACTCCTTCTGCCAACTCCTATTAAATTCATTATGAATCTGTGTTTCTTTCACTGGGATTGTTTTGTGAGGCAGGCTGTTCTGAAGGATGCCAACACATGGTTTTGCCCTAAAGTATGCTTCCCCTGTAATTTGCTTTGTACACTGAGAAGGATCCTCAGGGCGGACTTTTGCTGAATATAGATGTTCATTTAAAAACAATATCTGTACAAAGCATAATCACTGCCAGGAAGAAATGCATAGCAGCCACCAATAACCAGCTGTCCTCACTGAAAGAGTATAAATGTAGCAGCTATTAATATAAACTTCTTCTAGGAAAATAGCTGCATGAGCTGAATGCAGGTGTGGTAGTCTATGCCTGTTATCCCAGCACTTTTGGAGGCTGAGGCAGGAGGATTGTAAGTTGAAGTCCAGTCTAGCAATTTAGGAATGCAGTGAGACTGTGTCTCAAAACAGAAGCTAAAAAAATCTGGGTATGTAGCTCATGGCAAAGGTCCTGGATTTAATAATAATGATCATCATCATCATCATTATGACTGCCTTGAAGGGACTAGGTCTAAGTCCGCATGGCTTTCTATATACATGTCTTACTAGGATCTTGCTGTCAAAGGTGTTGCTGGTCCCAGCCCTTGAGGCAAATGGGTTCCTGGTGAGACTGCTAACAAAGCAGTATCCTGGTCCCCTCCCCGGGGGCCTGTCATTGCCATCAGTCTATCTTTTTCGCTCTTCCCCTTAAAACTTGCTCATATGAAACTGTTCTTGAAGACGCCAATATCTGGCTGCTGCTAAGACAAGAGTCTTAGTGTTGGTCCTGACAATGGTCAAACTCTTAATTCTCTTAGGAACAGAAAAGGCTTGAATTTATTCTACCATAACTAAAGCCAAACTCGTTCCCAGGCATAAGCCTTAATGATGGGGGATAACATGGAATGCATTGGCTACCAAAAGAGAAGACAAAGTTAAGGTATACTGTTGTTTCCTGGAAAATTAAAGCAATAGGATCAAATAATACATCAGCATACTTTAAACTCTGATTCAAGTTTTACCACATTGGTAATTTTGTGCGGGTTGCAGTTTCAAGAAAAAGTTAAATCTTTTTTTTTTTTTTTTTTTGGTTTTTTTTCCCCAATACCGGGAATTGAGCTCATGACCTTGCACTTGACAGGCAGGCGCTGTGCCGCTGAGCTGAATCCCCAGCCCCGAAAAAGTTAAATGTTTACCAAATCTAGTACAATACCTTAAATACATTGTATTAGGCCCAATAATAAAAACTGAGAAGGTGTAATTCCTAATCTAGACAAGGTATGGGTATACTTAAAAGTTAAGGGTGCAAGAAAATATGGCATAGTTTTATAAGCTAGAATATGATTGATAAAGAAGTCAAATCATTGCTGTGCTTCTAATTCTAAGGCAATTATCTTCATGACCCGCAGTACTCAGACAAGACTTAGTTGAAGAAAACAATTTCGCATTTAACTTCATAGCACAGGGAAGGGTAATCTAGGAGAGAGATACAGGACCATTCATGCGTAATTACTTCCCTCTAAGAGTCTATTAACCACTTGCCAACTACCTGACCCATTACGTAGTCTTGATTGCTACCCCATTTGTGCTTTGTTATTTGTACAGAAAACTGCCTAGAGCAATACTGAGTCTGCCTCACGGTCAAGCTCTAACCCACAGTGGGTCCTGCAGGTGAACACTGAGGTGCACATTGCCTCTTTTCTATAAATGAAGAGTGGTTGGAACTTGATGGCATTTAACATGAATACCACGTAGAACGCACAGCTCAGCACTGTGCAAATCTTACTTTATGTAGTGTCTCCAGTATACTATTTGACATATTAAGCTACTTGTAAGACAGTTTCCCTTTAAATTTCTTTTAAAACTTATATTTTCTCTCCCTCTCTCTCTCCCTCTCCCTCTATCTCTCTCTTTCTCTCTCCATATTTGGTTCACCTATTCTTTTTAATACACTGATTTTTCTGGCCCTAAAATCATGTATTTTATCCTTGGTATGGCAAATACAGCACCACAAAGAAATATAAAAGCCTTAGAAGGGTTTCCTTTTCTAAGACGTGCTCTAAAAATTATCTGGGAAGGATCAAAAAGTGCCTAAGTTTAATAGTGTTGCTTATTCCTGCACAATGATATGGTCTCATTAGTTCTGGGTTCTGGGATCTAAAAGGAAGGAAAAGCCAGAAGACTGCAGTGCTTCAGAGATCACATTCAACTCTCGGTCCTTATCACTGTGTCATAGGCAGATCAGAGAGCCAGGGCGTGTGAGACACAGAAACTAAAGCGCCATCCCCAAAGCCCTTCACGGGAAACCAAAGGGGCTGGGAAGAGCAGGATAAAGATCTGAAATACATCACCTTCATGATGCTCTCCTGAAAGAAAAGTCTTCAAGGCAGAAAGTCAAGAAATCATGTGGTCTAGCTCCTCAGTTTGCAGAGGAGAACTTATGTGCCGAGAGGATGTGTGACTTGGGGCCATACAGTTTCTAACTGAGGAACATGGATAATTCTGGTTTGTTATAATTAGAAATGAGGATGAGGTAGACAGGCACACGATAGAAATATTTTTACTCTATGGAGGAAGGGAATTTTCTCATTAGTATGGCCAGGAATATAATTTCCACAGATAGACTACCTCAAATGAGATTTCCCATGGATTCTCCCTTTCACACCACCCCCTGGCACCGCGTTATTCAGGGTTCACCATCAGTATGATCAGTGAAGTGACTCAGCTTCCTTTTTCTATTGCTGGATTCATGGAGCCCAGCACAGTGGCAAGTGAACAGAAGGAACTCAGCACATATTTGTGGAGTACATTTATACTATTTGTCAAGCTCTTTCAAGCCACACAAAGTGGCATGATTAATGAAATTAATCTTAATAATTTGGTAGAAGTGGTGCCCATCCAAATTCAGGACTCGGATTCTTCTTCCTTGACTGTGAGGTGAGTGTTTACATAATCACTCTGGTACTTTCCGGGTGTGGTTTCCTGAACTCACTTTCTATTATAATTTGCACAAAAGGTAAGGAACTTCTCAAAATAGATTATTTATCTCTTCAGGAGAGCAGTTCCCAGTGATCTTAGGAAGACAAATCACCGAGGGATTGCCATTTTTGAAGATGAGATTTGTGCTGGCAAAGAGCATATAAAGTGGTCACGTGAATAGGTCTGGGCTCAGAGAATGGGACTGGTCCATGAAAGTTTCCATTTTTCCAGCAAACGCACATCCCTGGCACCTCTTATTTGCAGAGTTCTGAGGATGCACTGCTTGCTACAGCACATGCTACAGAGATCTATCAATAACAACTACAGACGGAGTTACCTGTGCTGATTTTTTTTCTTTGCTAATCCCCTGAATAACAATCTCGAGTAAGAGGACAAGCTATGACCTTGTGACTTAGTTTACTTATTTATTTATTTATTTATTTGTGAGACAGGGTCTCACTGTGTAGTTTAGGCTACTTTTGAACTCACTACGTAGCCCAGGCTGACCTCGAACCCATAGCGATCCTCCTTCTGAGTGCTGGGAGGCCACCATGCCCTGCTTGACCTTTGACTTTAACTTATTAAAATAATAAAAACA